CGTCTTTACTACCTTCCTAAGAATTTTAACTCAGAGCTCCACACTTCGCCGAATGTGGAAACTTCGAAGCCAGATACCACAACAGGCTAAATTAATCGATTTCTTGCTTCATTAGTGAAGAAAATATTTTTTCAAACCTTTAATAAAAACTCAGCTGCTGTGAAATGGAGAATTAAAACAAATATCTAATATGAAATTTCACGGCCTTATATCGTAGGAACTTCTTTTGAACACTTTGGAATCAACACAAAAACATGATTTTTAGGCTAGAAATTCAACTCAATATAAATATAAAAAGAGACATTTTTAACCTCTTGGTAGATATTATACTTATTCTCTATGGTTTTTACTATTCTAATAGGATCAAAGTGAATATCTTATATAAATTTATTTGAATATTTTTTTTTTACCAAATAATTTTTTTTAAATATTCATAAATCATATTTAATTTTAAGATATATGATCATTCAAAAAGTTATGTATTAGTTTTTTGACGTTTAAGAGGGCTTCTTAATAATGTTTTTTGTATTTGATATCAACTACTATATTTTTAATTTTTAAATTATTATTATATCAATTATAAAAATATTTGTTAAATCACTTTACTTATATCTAATATACACTAAGTTCTTATTATTATCAAAAAAAATAACTTCATGGCAATTAAATCTATTTTGTTATAAGTTGCACTTTCTAATAATCTTATTATTAAACCTCCTATTAATTGATTGATGTTAAAAGACATTTTTTCCTAAAAAGTCTATAATAAATTTAGATTATTTTTTTAATTTAGTAAAATAATTAATAATAAACTAAATAGTTTTTTTGTTTTCAAATTGTCAATACAATTTTGAGAGTTGTCTTTAAGCCATATAATTTGGTACCTTTATTTCTAATAATTTTATTTGCAACCCTTATTCTATATTATCTATAATGTTAGAACTCTTCATATTTGATGTTTGGCTTATTTGATAAAAGATCATATTATTGCAATATATATGTATCTTTATGTTGATTATTTCATATTATTCAACAAATCTTTTATTACTTTGGTGTTATTTCTCAAACCAATTATTTTTAGACTAAGAATGTAAACTAACTAATTAATTTTTTTCTAATTTTCTTTTTGTAAGATTCTATTAATTTATTTTAATCTCTTTTTAAGCATTAAGAATTTTTTTATAATCTTTAGAATTTTTGGATTTTTGGATATAGATAGATTTATTACATCATATAGTATACTTTCTAAGAACTATATTTATGATTTTCTTCTTTGTAGTATGTTAACAAGTAATTAAAACATATATGAGTGTGTTTTAATGACATACAATTATAATTATTGTGCCTTATTTTGCAATATTTGTAAGCTATTAATATTGATCAATCAGAGTGTGACTTTGATTTATTTGATAATTTATCAGTATTAATCTTTGGCAACAGATCTAAGATTATTATATCTATTAGTGGTATTTTTTAAAATAAAGATATTTTATAAATTTTTATATTAATATATAATCTATGTATATTATTTTTATGGCTAGCCTTAGTTTAGAAAAAAAATATATGGTACTCTTTAATTATATAGTTTTAATTTAGATAAAAGTGACATAAAATTAATAAATTATTATAATAAATAAAAATATTTTTTTGATGCTTAATAATAGAGTTGGTCACTTGTATCTCCACTTGCAACTTTTATTTTTAAAAGTACTAATCAAAATCTTAATTCTTTTATATTTTATTTTTTTAGCCACCTACAAAAATTTAGTCTTTCTTTTATATTAGATCCTATGCCATTTTAGAATTAAAATTTGCATGCCATCATTAAAATATGCTCAATTCTTCTATTATTCTAAAAATACATTATAATAATTTTTACTTTTATATGATTTTTTCTTTGAATATATTATTTTATATCTAAATTCTTTTATTCAAAATTTGTTCTTTAAACTATTCACATTGATTCAAGTCTTTATTCTACTTCAAGTTGTATAAGCCTTCTCTTTTTTTAAAAAAATACACACTTTAATACTACCCATGCATAACACCATCTAATTCCATTGCATCATAATCATAAAATTAAAAATCTTTTTCAAAAGTCTATTGATTCAAATTAGAGGATCAATTTAAACAAAAATCAATTCAAAATCAATGTTTCTATCCTTTTTATAATTAGACTCAAGAAAAACTACACCAATTTACTGACAAATTGATTGGATATTTGTTACTCATAAATTAAAGATCCTCATTATGCTTTCCTAGTTTTATAATTTTGATCTTTCAGCTATAAAATTGTATTACTCTTCTAAGTGCTCTTGTTAGACCACAAAACTTTGTGTTTGGCAAACATGCCTTTTTACTTCATTGTAGATGAAAACTATCCAACAAAATTTCATTCATGAATTAAAATTTGATTTTACAAGGTTTTGCACATGGCTTGTTGTAGGGACAACATGTGGCAAGAAACCATGCACAAAATCCTCCTTCTACTAGATAAATATTTTTTCTAGAGAAATGACATGCCTAAATAAAAACTTTGCACATCAATTTTATACTCATGCACTTGCGGGGTAAAGACAAATTTCTTCAAGCATCAACAAAATCACGAGCAATTGGCAATTAAATACTTCACCCATTCCTTTTCTTTTTTCTTTTTTCTTTTTTTTTGTACTCTCTTCCCCTCTAAGCCCATAGTCTTACTCCTTCTTGTCTCTCATCTATGAACTACACTCATACTTGTTCTAGAATTGCAAGTAAAGTCAAAATTTCAAGATATTCCTCTTTGTACAAAACCTTCAAACTAAATAAACATATTTTTCCAAAAATCATTCCCTTAAATGCCCAGTATGGAGGGATGGGTTGTAGCTTCAAAACCCTCCAAAATTTCATTTCTCACCATCAGCTTCCACTTTGTACTACAGTTAAGCAATGGAGAATAATACAAGATTATGAAACCTTTCTAATGAATCAGCCATGTCAGAAGGTTGTCACCAGTCATCACTCTTTGAAAGTGCCATAAAATCACGTGTTTTACATGTGCACCAAACTCAGCTTGGTTGCCCAGCCCTCATAAAATCACTGTTTTTCTGTGTCTGTACCTCAAAATCTAAGCACCTATCCTTGAACCTGTTCCTAAAGATTCCTGTCCTTGCTGCAATGAATAAATTCCTAAGTGATTTATTCTTGATCCTCTCCACCTTGCACACTGAAATTCCGGGATCTCCTGCAACAGGTCGCGTGCGGCAATTAATCGGTTCTCCTTCCACTCTCACCCTTGTGTCAAAAATGCATGAACTACTGACAACTTGCGAAGATAAACACAAGAAGCAGGTGGGTGTCTCAACAGTTGTTCCTCGTGGAAATCGTGGTGTTTCGGATGCCTTCTTTGGGACTTAACGGCGGCCAGGAACACCGCATTGGCTTAACAAATTTTCACCGTCGCAAGTCAAGCCTTCTTGATTAACAACAAATGACAAGCACCACTTGTGAATTTGGCTTTAGAGAACGTGTTCTCTAAACCCCATCTCCGAGTTTCCGCTTATCACAACTGGAGACGGCAACACCACAAGCCATACAAGATAAGTGAGCTGCACTCTTGTGTCCTGACAGCCTTCAAACCCACGAATGCCCCAACTCCGTCGCGCCCCTTCTTTTGAACGACACGATTAGATTAAAAATTTAAACTCTGCATGCAAAAAGACTCCTAACCTGTTGATGCGAATTGCTTTCGATGCTCCACAATCCGCCGTAATCTATGTGTTTCGCAAAGTCTAATTAATTGAGCTCAAATTGAAATTACGACGCCTTCGCCTCTTTCTGTGCGATACTTGCATTCGAAATGAATCCGCCGACGCACGGACGGGTGGTACGACAACATCAAGCATGTCGGAGTTTACAACGATCATGTAACACAGCTTGAAGTAGGAAGCTAGAGCTGGGACAACCTCGGGGCTGCATTTGAGCAATCTGGGCTGTGCGGATAATCTATTGCAACCAATGGCATCTTAGACCTGGCCCAGGAAACTCACGTCGCAACTCTTCAGAAACGAGATCAGCAAACTTTGTATGGCTAAACCTAATTAAGTTTCCAATAGAAAGAGATGCTAAAAAGGAAAAGGACAACCATCATGATAGACTCACACGGATCGGCAGAGCTCCCAGCAAAAGAAAACCCATGCAGCATTAGACTGCCAAAAGCATTTTCATCTGTTCCCTTGTCCTGTTTTTTGAACCCACGTGGAGCTATTGAATTGCACAAACCTCGGCAAAACCAATGCAGGCTGCGCTGGAACTTTACCAGCTTGAAATACTCCCATGATTAGACGAAATGCAAACTGGTAGTCTAAGCATCGTTGAACGGGGAATTCCATTGCAGAATTATTATGATTATTTTGGTTGCGATCCTACTTACGGTCGCACATTGGACAAGCAACTTGCACATGTTCGCACCAATAAACAAAATCTTCAAAGAAACCATATGCGTTACATATGTATCGTGCCGCCTAAATACAGGTGAGTTACATAGGTGAAAGATAAGAGCACACGATTGTGATCAAGCAGCTGATTGAACTCATCGAAAAGGAACCTGCAAAGCTAGAGAACGCGGTCTCCGAAGGGATACTTCCTGAAATCACTCGTAGAGTTTCGCTACGGAATTTTAGGTTCGGTAAGGGACTGGTATGTCAACTCTGCCATATAAACAGTCACTATGTTACCAAAATAAGTATCTTCGAGCTTCAATTTGCTTGAAGTACACCTCAGGCTCATAGGAAAAACCACCGTTTCAGTTGAACTAAGTTCGAGTGATCCCACAAAATAGTCCTATATAAAAATTGTTCGCTCTGACTGCAGGGGTAGAACCGTGAACACTGATCCATTTTCTAAAGGGGCTCTCTACCAAGGAAAACACTAACATCCTTAGAGGTAGCGTCAACTCGTCTTTCTTAAAAAAAGACTACAAGCAAGAATAACTTGGTAGAAACAAGGATAGCTTCCTCAGGTGTACAAGAAAAAATGATGTGCCTCTTTTATATATAATAAATATACAAGTACATTCATAAAGATTCCTGTTGATTGACTTACGTAATTGAACATCTACTTTAGAACTCAAACCTGCACATTTCTAGGAAGATCGCAACTTACTCATTCACGCTACACTAGTTCCTTTTGCAAGAAAATAAATGCCTTCCGCAGCTATCCAGAGATTATCTGCGTTTTTCTTTGTAACTGCGCATACCTGCACGATGATTCCAATCGGATTGGGTAAGCAGAACAAGCATTTCAAGAAAAAAACAAAGAACCAAGCTCAGGTTTGTGCTATATGCACTAAGCATTCTTGTATACCCTTGAATCGCAACTATCTGCACATAAGTAATTCAAACTCAGGTGCAAGCTTGCATGAAGATCCCATATTTACACATGATTCATGCCTTTCACCAAATTTAACAGAAGCCAAAGACGTGAATGATACAGATAGCTTCGCCTTGATAGTGTAAGCAGGAACATAAGTATTACCTCTTGTTGACCTAAAACGATTCGGCTGTACTTCTTGTCATGACTATGAAGGTAAGCATTGGTGTCAACATGTCGAAGTCGAACTTTCTGATCTTGCATCCAGATATTGCCCTTGCCCTCTATCACCAGCCTGACACACCAATTGTGACTAGATTCATATGCTATTCTATGAAGCTTTCAATAGAAGAAATCCCTACAACAAAATGTATCATATCTATAAAGGGCAAGAAAGGACTCACTTCCAATAATCCCCAGTATCAGTTTGGTCATCTCCTCCGAAAGCACTAACCTGGCATGTCACAGAAAGAATTGAAATCCATCAGCAAAACCTAGAGAAATGGCCCGGTTAACGACTCAATTCCAGTTCATGTATAGACCTAGTAACAAAAATATTTCTGAGACTTTTTTAATTAAGACGAAGTAAACTTCAAAGAACTTGACGAATGAGCTTCCATAAAAATGTTCCATCAAAACTATTTCGAGTATGAATATGCAACCAAACTGAAATCTGAAGAGAGGTGTTTCAGACCTCAAGATTGCCAGAAATAGGAGACCGATGGAGGTGACTATGGAGCCATTTGCGGGTCCGCATATGCTGAAGACGAACTGTAGAGCCATTAGGGATGAGGTCGCCCTGTTTATGCTCCTTGTCTGCAGAAGGCTCAACAATCTATACCATATTTGTAAAGACGTGTGAGATTAGCATCGAAACTGCAATATGTTATGACGCGGACATACCTAACATATCCACGTCGATGCATCTTAAACTGGATGGATCCTAAAATAGGTCGCTTCTTTACGAATCTATATTTCTTCTAAACATATAAAAACACATACATGTGAAGTCACCAATAGATGCTTCCACTTACATTCGTAGTCCATGCCATTAATGCACATTTCTGAACTGGCAAAAAACCGTAGTGTCTACATAAAAAACCACATTTCTATTCAATATAAAACCTGGCACCACATTATGTAATATAATGCTAAAGGAGTAGATCAGACACAAGAGGGAAGTACTTCACGCAGTGGAAAAAACTATGATGCAAAACCTGTAGAAAGACGACTTTTGCGAATATTAAGCAACTGCGTCTAATGATGTTGAAGTGTCTTACAACGAGAACCTTTTTCCTTCAACAGCTAATTAAAAATTTCGCTCCAAGCATGGTTCTGCGCAAGAAGGAATTAACACTTCTCCATGAGATGTACGGTGACTCACCCAGAAACTATTCCCATCTTCAACACCCGGGAAGGAAGTTACAGATTGTTGTCCACTTCCAGAACCATAGGGTACTTCATGTGAGTGCAACCGAAACTTGGTGCGTTCATGTTGTAGCTTAATCACACTTCCATACGTCACCTGGACAATAATACACATATTCCACCACAACGATTATTATTATTATTATTATCATCAAATCAGCCAGACCTATCGTATCCAAATACCCACTTCTACATGCAAAAGTAACACTCAAAAACACAACCAATCCACCTCATCACAAAAAGAAATATCTGTAGACAATAACCAAACAACAGATATCCCACACCCATGAAGCACGCCATTAAAGCTATGCGCCCAGCCAGCTCCAGCATTGCTAGTGATCTACCAGAACCGCTGAATAGAAAAGTCATTAACTGCGGTTTCTAACTACAAAATAATATATACTAGCAATTTATATTCGTGAATATCCAGGTTGCAGAAAGACAATGACGAAGATTGCAAGGGGGCTGCGTCGACGGATTAGATCAAACCCTAGCTCTTCCAAAACTACACAATCGATACAAACCAGGATTCTAGGAGTTCCGCATCCCCGATTATGTGAATGACAAAAACCTTCAATGCCAGTTACGTGACGATACGTCATACACAAATTTCCAGGTTCCTTCCTCAGTTGCAGAAAAATGAGCGGAATGAGATAGACTTCGACAGTCTCAAATTCTACTCCACGTACCTCTTTACGCTCAGTGGCGGCATCGACGAATGCAGACGCCGAGGAATGAAAGACAACCAGCACTGCGACCAATGCGACTGAAATTAGCGCCATAGCTAGGCACAGCTGAAGACACCCCACACTTGGAAAGAATCCCTTATCCGACTTCGCTGATTTTCGCTTAGAATTCTTTCCGCACCGTAGCGATAGCCTTCTTCACGGTTCCACAAACTCCTTCACCACACTTTCATTCCCAATCCCAGGGTTACGTGCAGCAGGAATGGCGCCAGTAGACCAGAAATGGACGCTGAGTGGAGTGCTTTGATGAGTCTTCCAGAGCTCATGCACACCAGGATGACGACTGGGCCAGATGTAATGACCTTCTGAACTTCGTAGCTGTAGAAAAAGATTGATCGTCTGCAGCTCTGCACCGCAACGCAATTCCGACAGAGTTACCCAGCTATCCGAACGCATGAAAATTAGGTCTAAGGTTCTACGTTGACATACGCAGTAAAAAGAATGGCAACCGCCAGAGCTGCAGGTGTCCTACGAAGAGAGGAGCATCAGAGGTGTAACCCATCGCAGCAAAACGTCCATAGCTCCCATTTCGCATTTGCAACTTGTGGAGATGCAACACCAAACCACCTCAGAACCCATCAAAACTCAGATTTCCAAACAATTTGCAGGGTAACCCAATAATCTCCTCATCTTCGCCGCTTCAAACCAACAAAAGATGGGTGCAACTCACATCCCAACAGATTGCGAGCTGCCAGAATTGGCCTGATCGAACCCCCACTTCCTTGAATTCTCCAGCTCTAGCACCAAATAGGCAACCGACCCACCTTAAAAAATGAACTTGTAACCCTAAAAATTCTCACAATCCACAATTAGGGAGTTGACAGGAGTCCTGTTGCATACAATCCACTCACCGAAATAGTTCAATCTGCTGTTTGCTTTCTTCTTCCCTGCTTCTACTACTCTCTTTGTTTTTGTTTTGTTTTTTTGATTTTTTTTCTGTTTCTATTTTATTTTTTTATTAAGAGTTTGGTATTTGGAAGAAGGGGTTTCACAGCCTGTGTTTTGAATTGAGGTCTTTGTTTTACTCACATGTTCGGAATGTTGTTGTATTTGATGGGAACACGTGGTGTTTGATTCAAAATGGATTGTTTGATTGATGATTGGCAAAAATTTAGAGTAATTTTTAAATACAGATTTAGTGGATTTGGTTTTGGAATTGACAACGCATTTAGTGCAAGAATAAAGGTGGTGCTATGATCGGATTTTCATAGAATTTAAATGCACACTCAAATGCTTGAAACAAAAGAAGATTCAAAAATGCAATATATCTAAAAAAAAAAATCATTTGATCTTAATTTTACAAATTCTTGAAGTATATGCTTTTGATTGACAACATCACAAATGCTACTAGATACACAAAATCAATTTGTACCATATTGAAATTTTATGTTTATCATGTTACATTGCAAATTGTACAAGATTGAAATTATTAAAAAGTGAACATACACCAAATTAATTTATAATGCAAACCTTTGTTTTGAAACTAATTAGACAAATTATAGACACTTATAATAATTTTATTTTGGAGGATTAATTTCATGGCAACTAATTAGACTATGTTGTAATCACATACTGTAATCCTGAAAAAATTTAAATATACAAAATATGGATCTGTTTCACAGATATTATTGCAATGTTAGTAAAGGTTGGCTAAGTCAAACTTTATATTAAACTATTGTAAAAGTTAGTCAAATATTTTGTACATGTTATGCAATTCTTTTAGAGATATTTCATGACATTAAATAAATATAAATTATATATATATATATAAATTCAATTGATGTGTAAATTTACCTTCATGAAAAAAATATTAAAAAAAAGCACAAGTTATGACAAAATAAGTTTAATAAGTCAAAATAAAGTAAGATATAGATATTTGTGATAATCATAAAAGATTATGTGTGATTATGTCTTTCAAAAAATAAAATGATACGATTTTTTTAAGAAGTATAGTAAAAAAAGATTAAAAATAAATAATAAATGTTTACTTCTGCCACTTAGAAACATATTGAACATAATTTTAACATACATATATTCATAATGTTAATATTTTTCACATTTGTCATTTTTTATGGAAATACACAAAAATAACATATTTTTTCTTTTCTTTTCATATATATACATCTATATAGTTTTTATTTTTTTATTTGGTATCAATCATATCTTTTCTACAAAGAATTCTACATATTTGTTAGTCATTTACCTGACTGTGCATACATTTGGAGTGTATTGAATTTATTTAATGAAAAGTGGTATCATTAAACAATGTTCTTATCTTATCAATACTTTATTGGCAACAACTACATAGTATAACATATTATAATTTTAGTATTTCACTTAAAATGAAAGAAATCATTCAAGTTTTATTTTTGAAATATGCTATTGTACTACGATATTTTAGCACACTATAAGTATTCAATAGAATTCTACTACTGAGTCTCGAAATATAATATGTTGTAATTTTGATTTCTGATTTTTTAAGAGCTAAAGTTTAAAAGTAGAAAACGCACTGATGTGTACATGCACAAATTATAACAATAGTGAAAACAAGTAGCTATGATATGATGAGCTTACAAGAACTAATGCTCAAAACATATTGTATGTTTCAATGAATTCTAAAAAATATTTTGGAATATGAGGTGTGCTCTACAATCTTCAACAATTACTTTCTAACCAACAATTCCAAAAAAGTATCGCAAAAGCATCCATAGATTTTACTTGCTAATGAATACTATCCAAAAAGTTCTTATCTGAAAAGTTTCTAAGTCTAAGGCAGAGGCTTCACTTTGTGCTCGCCATTTATCTCCGAACGCAACGGTGATAGAAGGGAGGCACAACCTTTGCTTTAATAAATCTGGGTGTGTTTCATGCAAAATGCATGGCTAGGGATACTCTCTATTTGTAAAAAATAGCTTTATATCTTCCTGTTAAGTGTAGATTTGATTGTGGCTAATGACACAAATGACATATTTTCTCAAGTATTCATTTATCATGTTGATAAGAAAATTTTCATCTTGCTTTTAATTTCCCTTTTTTAGACTACAATATCAAGCAAACACAGTAAAATTAAATTAAATGAAAAAATAAAAATAAAATGACTTACCCACCTTCTTAAACTGGGTGAAGAGCGATAAAAAATGGTCACTAACCAAAGTTCCCAAGCAAGATCTGAGCAAAGAGTGATTTTAAATATTCACTAACCGAAGTTCCCAATTTAGTGCTCGAGTCTAGTTGGCCATCTCGAACTATCCTTGAACACATTTGTAGAGTATTCTCGCAACTCTTCCATGCTCAAGATGGTTCGAAATTACAGGCCTTTGAGCATACTGACAATTTGCAAGTCTGATAGCTCTATCACCAAAACCAGCATGTTGGTAACGTGCCGAAAGTTTTCAGCAATCAGGAACCATCTGATTAACCAGTGTTTCAAGTCAATAGGGTTCTAAATTAGAAGTTAATTGAAATTTCTTAAATTAAATGAGACCCATTGTTGGGTTAGACTTGGTGTGCTGCATGAAGCCCTATCGCATGAAGTTTGACAAGTTCATCCGACCTTCAGGCGTCATCTGTTTTCATTTTACCATCAGCACAACCTGATTAATTCCATAAAACCCACAAAAATAACACATTAATAAATGAATGTGGATAAATCAATGATCTAACTCAGTTCTCCTGGGCACAATCGAGCATTTAGGAATGTTCGTCCTCTGCTCGAAGAAACGGCACAACTGCATGATAACATCCCTTGCTCCTCACCTCCCGCAAGAAGATGCATGAATTGTTTTTCGTTCTTGCACTCAACTTCAAACCAAAATAGCGCCCCTCGGAAGCAGGGTTATGAATTCCCAAAAGCAGACTATGAAGACTGTGCATCCTAATGATGCTCAATTGATAATGCACCTCCATCGTCAACATCACTGACATTGAGCATCCAAATGTGAATAGGGGAAGAAAGAAAACAAAAGAAATCGCAAGCTTAGAGTAAGATGCACCACAACAGAATGAAGGTGTATTAGTACTAGTAACAGCAGCGGTGAAGGAAACCTCTTGCAACCTCAGCAGTTAAGGTTTACGCACCTACTTGTTGTATCCATGTACATGATATGCTTCTGCTTGCCAAAGTTGAAACGCTGAATGCAAGTTACGAACTCACTCACAAAGAGCTTAACTCGTATGATGAATATTCTAACCAAAGTGAAGCGGAAACTGTAGACTAGTGAAAAGCTACAACACAATCCTCAAGAACTAACCATGGGATGACAATTTCCGCCCCACTCTCCTAGAACTTAGGACTAGGAGTGAGTTGGAGAAAGCTGCCCATCACCATGGAGGTGTCAGACAGATAGCGGATGGCTAACATTATCATCGGAGCTGTATCTTTAACCTTCAATTACAGCAGGTGTCCATGAATCAGATCTGAACAGTGAAAACCTTCAACTGTGATGCAATACAATTGAAGTGTGCAAGCTCTTTGCACAAGAGATAGAAGTTGCTGCTTCCTCAATTAAAGGCACTGTCTCTTATCTAGTAAGAAACAAAACAAGGGTTTCAAAGAAATGTCATTCACTGGTCAACATTCCATCCTAATTTCTACTATGTAGACCTTAATACCCACTTCGGACCCACATGACCATCATTTCAAGCGTAAGCTCTTCCAAACATGCAAAAACTTTAATAGAATGCTTCAATACTGCACTTCCATAGAACAACTTGCTTCTAAGAAAGACAATCATGGCCTTCAAAATAAATAAATAAATAATCAAATAAAAAACAGAAACTAAAATTGAATATAAGATTCTTAAAAATTCATCCGCTCCAAAAACCCAGAAACGAAAACTAGAGGACGAATATGGAGAAAAAGCACAAGAAATTAAATGCGCTCTCGAAAGGATCAGATCAATCCTCGCGAAACCTTATTACGCAGCCTGTAAAAACATATCTGTCACAGAGGCGAGCAATTCCAAACCAACCAAACGCGTTTCACCGTGACGAGAGCAAATTGTAAATTCAAAAGCATAAATCCACGTTCAGCCTTCCTGCAACCCACGAACGCCGGGCAGTAAACGCTGCAAAGTGCAGATCCGTAGAATTACCCCTCGCGCGACCTCTCCCGAACTCAACTGTAAAACATGATCAAAGGCCAAATTGTTTTCCCTCACAACCACAAAGCAAGAAGACGATGAGGGCTTCTGAACACTCGGAGCACTTGGAGGGAGAGCAAAAACAACGAAGCAACATTCACGCAATTCCGCTGCAATTAGGGTTCTTTCGCAACCACCCTCCATCCTAGAAGCTTCTTCCACTTTGCTGGTGAGAGTGGATGAATGAATCGTCGCAGTTCGACTGGTCCCACTCTTGGATGATTATATTCAATCGTTCACATATTCATCCATTACATTCATTCGTGTGCTTTCGTTCGTTCACATTCCAGTGTCACGAAAGTCCTCTGAGAGATAGAGTCGACCTAGAATAGAAGGAGAAGGAGGGAAAGTGGTGTGAACGGGGGTGCCAGGGGCAAGCGTGGGCAAGCGTGGCCACCGTGAACGAGGGGAGGGCTGCCAGCCTGTCCACTTGCGTGGCAGGTGCTCGTCCAGGTCTGACCCGGAGCGGCGAAAGCTTCTCGACGTGGACCGTAAGCCACGTCACCCCACTCCCACCCGCAGGGGGCCAGTGTGTTGTGGTTGTCCCCAGAAGAAGCCCACTAGTAACTTTTCCACCCGTTTCCACGTTTGAAAAAGGGCGACTCACTGACTGACTAACTGACTGTTCCAGGTAACGTAAACGCGAAGTAATCCCAAGCAAATATCGGGGGTCAGTCAGTCTGTCTGTCTGTCTGTTTTTCTTTTACAATTTTTCTTTTTCTTTTTCTTTTTCTTTCCCGGTCTGTGATTGTGGAGTGGGTGTCATTCAGTCTAGAAGGGACCGGAAGTTTCCCTTTTGCTTCGGCTTCTGGAATTCTTCGCATGCCGCTTTTGTCTCGAAGTTTACATTCATCCATTTGATAAAAACTATCCGATGGAAACGAGCTAATTGAAACGGAGCAGAAACTCCCGCCTAAACACGTGGTTTGAAAACTCAAAAATTAGTGTGGGCGAAGTTAAATAGAATGAACTTTGATGGCTAGTGCACAATGGAACTTTGAGGTTTCAATATGACATTGGAAACAAATGGTTAGAAAAACAAACCTTTTATTTAATCTTTTTTTAAACCATTAATGCATTCGTTCTGTTTTCCGAGGTCTTCAGTTCATTCCCTAATTCCAAGATTCTTACATCGTGTGTTGTTTTCATCCACATATCCACATGGGTCATTGAGATTATATCTTCGTGAAGTACCTGTCATGGTTTATTTAAAGAATGAACGATGCACATCGAGTTATGGAAAGAATTGCATTAGAATAGTGTCGCAAACAGAAGATACCACATGGAGTGCAGTGGGATGCAGAATAAGTGCCTGACCTCTAAAGATATTTTTGCCTTCAGTAGCAAATTGAACACGATGGCAGCGGAAGCTCCTTCTCTCTCTCGTCCTCATTTCCATCGCACACGCCTGGGTTGCATACCAGATCTGGGCTTGTCGTCCATTTTGGTCTGTGTCACTGGCGCAATTTTCCCGTGATATGGAGTGTAAAGCTCTATAAGGGCTTATCCACAGCACCCAGACAACGGCTTCATCTGTGAAATGAAATCGACCGGTATGTTTAATGGCGGCTCAAGCAGAAATTGCTGTTCGTTAGTCGTGAGATATTCAGCTTGGTTCATCCAAGCGGCCGGACTTGGAGGGTGGCATGAAATTGGATCTGCAATTGTAGAGGAGGAACTCCATGCCAAGGACTACCAAAGGGTTCTGTTTCATGTGCTCTGAGTCTGGGACCCGCTTGTGCTCTTTCCTAATTCGAGCTCCGAAGTTGCAAACCCGCGAATATTGCTCTCCCCTTGCATCCCGACTGAGTCCTCGCCTTCCCTGCGCGGGCATCGTCGTAGGTCATGCTTGGCGCTCTTAGTTTCCCGCCCCTTTCCTCCTCCCACATCATTCTGAGTCCACCAAGATATATCGCCTCCTCGCCCGTGTTACCCCTCTCCGATCTATGGCATCTCCACTTCCTTCATGTCATCAATATTCGAATATCCTTTTTCACACGATTCGTGAATTCGTTCTGCTTGAAGTTGATGAGCAAAGGTGATCACGGTTGAAGCCAGGTTAAAATGAAATGCACATGAACTTGGTGTCTTACGCCTCCTGATTACGTCCAAGCGTCCAGGTTTAGGTTTAGAAAGATGCGTCAAGAAGTAGATGTAGGAGTTTTGGAAGCAAACCCTACAAAATGTCTTCGAGTTGTAGAGCTTTCATTCGAGACTCAATCCGAGAAAACGTACCCAGAGGACCTGCTGTTGTTGCATTTGAAATTTCGAACTTCAACTGCATCCACAAGTTTTCTGTCCACAAGTACTACCGATTTAAGTAGATAGCAGCAGTGAGCTGATATGAAACATCCACATTAGGACTTGAAATATGTTTATGAATAGTCACACAATAAACGATACCGATTACCTCGATTTAGAGAGGAACACTTGTCCGCATTCTGTGGACACGTATCCTAGAATATCCTTGCAAACCAAACTAACCATCTCCGTTGTAATCGTGCCATCTCTCGATCAGCACGTGTCTCTTCGACAACTAGTTTGCAAGCCACGCTGCTGTTTATGGCAATTCTCAGTTATTCAAGCCTGAAACTTTTGCGGTGTCTATCACAGTGGCACCAGTGATGGACTCTAACACACCTACAGAATCTGCAATTTGGTGAATAACCTGTGAACATGTTAAAGTCCAACCTGCCTCTCAAACCACAAAGTGAATGCAGTGCTTGGAAAATTGGGAACCCAAAAAAATTAAAACGACAGAGTGGGCGACGAGGTGAGCAGGAGCGTAAAGAGGTTGCGATGCAACAGCACCCGAAAAGGGACTCGAGGGTAAGGGTTCCCGCTACTTCTCTGAATCACAAGTATGGTACTTGAGTCACACCACGGCAGATTCATGGTAAATCGAAGCAAGCCAAATCCAAGGGGGGGCCAGCAGGAGAGATCATATGAGCTCAACCTGGTCGAGACAAAGAACCCACAAAAAATACGAACCCAAAATTGGTGGTCAGTTAAGCCAACACCAGGTGTACCTGGTCAGAAATGCTGGAGAGGCGCTACGGGACGCAATAGTTTAGTCGTTTTCTGCGTGAATACAGGGAAAAAAATGCATGGAAGGATATATATAGCTATTTCGATATAGAATTCTATTCACTTTTGTCAAAAGAGGCAATGGGAGCAGGCCCACATTCTTAATTATGAATACACCTTCAGAATTTGCACGGGATGCTACCTCTATTCATTCATCGTATCGGTCTCGGTCCAGGTTTTTATTTCGGACTCATCCATCTTGGCAACCTGAAGGCATTTGATAAATGATGCGGCCTACTGACTTGGATAGATAATTGATTTATTCATCATTTTTGTCGTTTAGCGTGGAAGCAGCATCATCAAATAACTGGACAACTCGGAATTATCAGAATATCCGGGACAATAAGTTATTATTAGAATATGCCAAGACCCACAAAATTATTTTAGGGTCCTTCATTTCGGTATGATCTGCACAAAGCGCAGGTTATTTTAGTGCCTACGCTCTGCAACAAGGTGAAACAGTTGTAGCTTTTAAATGCTGCGATGATTTAAGTTCCTATTTTGAACAGTTATTTTTTATTCTTCTTATCATTATTTCCTATTAAACTTTTTTTGCTAGATGACTTGACTAAAATATGTGCTAGAATAAAACATTCCAATTTACCATGTATGAATTTTAACTTCAATTTTGCCTGCTTTGAAAATATGCTCAGCAATTTCAACCAGAATTCAATAAATGCATTATTCTCACTTTACCACCGAAATGTACTGCGGCCACTAAAATATTAATAAGCTCGTTGTTGCCACTTCACCACCGAAGATATATTAACACTGATACTTATTTATTCATTTTTAGTGATTTTACCAACTTAATCTAAAGAATATTATAACATTTAGTTGGTATTGTTGTATTGTGTTGCATTTGGAACTCTCGTTGAGAACACAATTTTGGTGATAATGGCATGATTAAGCAATTTCGCGTTTATTACAACTACTTAAAAAAAAGGCTAAAATTGTGTAAATTATAATCAACCTTTTCATTAAATGGTAGAAGTACTGTGCACAGCAATACTTAATACGTCGCATCAAGAATTTGTACATGTATTTATATTTGTATGGCAAAAATGAAAAAAAAAAAAAACTATATGGGGGTTGGTAGAATATTGTATTGTCAAACAAGTGGACATGTTAGATATGCGATTTAAAATTAAAGCCAATATTAAAAATTAACGCAAATGTCAGAATGTCATTATTTTACTTTATTTAATCAAGGGTGTAGGATCCATATAAGATCTATTACATTACCTTCGCCAATATTGCAACCAAACAATCATTTTTTTTCAAATCGATTCATGTAGCGAAGATATTCCAACTTGATAACTGAATCTTTTATATATATATATATATATATATGTATATATGCATCAAATACATTAAACAACATGGGGTAACTTAAGTGTGTGTGGGCAAGAGGTGTTATCAAACGTAAAGAATTTCACACTGCCAATAGACCCCACTTCCAAGCTCAAATCAAACTTTGCATGAACATATTCAATCATAGAGCAAATATTCAAAAATATTCAAAATATAAGATATGATTCCCTTTTGAGAATAAACTGCATCAACATTATACGTCTCACTTGTTTCAATCATCAGGAGAAAGAGAGAGATTCACACAAACACGTACATGCCTTTTTTTTTTTTTTTTTTTTTTTTTTGGTCTGTTACTATTATTTGATTCATCTCAGTATTAAAAATCTGCTAAGAGCTGTAAATTATTTTCACGAAGGGTATGAAAACTCACATGGAAGAACAGTATTTTACAAGTTAGTATTGAAATAAATCAATACAAGATTTTAAACATATAACAATAGAAAAAAATATTGTACATTGAATACAATGGCTGATCTCCTCCCACCACTCAACCATTGACCCCACCCAACCTTGTGTGTACCTTCAACGAACATGTGCCCAGCGTGAGGATATTGGATGAACGTTTTTCATCCTATGGATGTCTTGAAGCACTAATACCCACTGCAAACGCGGCAGTTCTCAATCCAAGCAACTCCGCGGTTCCAGCGCCATGAAGAGCTCCTGGTGACGCTCTAGATTGGCAGAGCTGCACCGCGCGGTTGCAAGGCACGACTGACTGCACGCAGAGATAGCAGACGGTGGCTGAGCCCCTCCTCGCGGTCACGCGCGGGGTTCACGTCGCAGTCCACAGCTCTGGTATGTTCAGACCTGGGCTGCCGTTGTTTTGACTTCCCACCCCGCGGAAGGAGCGTATGTTCCAGGGACTCTCTATTTATTATTATTATTTTTAATATTTTAAGTTTAATTTTATTTATTTATTTATTTTTTCCGTCCCGTTTTCTGTGACACAGGTAACCCAATCATCAAACCACAACCATTTCTCACTGCGCACATCCTTGGCACAGAATGGGCGCATCGTAGGAAGTAGAGGTGACCACAGTATTAGAGCCATGATCACGCAAGAGGCGAGAATGACGACCGTGTTGGCCTAGAGGAGGAACAGGCATGGAAACGGTAGCAGTGCTGCTTTGCTCATATGCGGTCTGGTTTGTGGGCGTTTCGGAAGAGGGTTTGTGATGTGTGTTACAGCGTAGGGCGCTTCAGAGCCGGTGAGATTACGTTAGAGAGGATTGTTTGATAGGACGCCTGAAGGCGCAGTGAAGCTTGAGTGCCGGATGATGACGACGACGAGGAGGCCTGGGTGCGAGTTCAAGTGCCGAAACAGGGAGTAGGAGTGAGGGTGGAAGAGATGCGGTGCTGGTTGGCAGGGTTAGTGGTGTGACCGGAGAAGCAAGGATACGTGTTGGTGCGGAGAGGGTATGCGTGTGCGGTGCGAGAGATTATGATGGTACAGAGTGGGGCATGATGCAGGGAGTGGATAGGGGTGTGTTAAAGAGAGCGGATGGCACGGGGTCGTCGTGTTCTCTGGTGATTGCCAGCGTTAGAAACACAGCGGTGCTTTGAAGTGGGAGGGATGTGGGTTGGTTGCTGGACGTTCCAACTTGATGGTCTGCAAGGGGAGAAGCGGAGGGCTTCTTTTGTATCCACAGGTGAGGCGTTTTGCGTCCATGTTCTTATCATCTTTCAAATTGGAGTTGGTGAGGGTGGTGATACTTGGTTTTGTGGTTGAAGTAGTTCGTAGAAGATTCTTCGGGAATCGTGGATTCTTGGGAAGAACGTCTTGAAGAGGTTAAGGTCAACGTATTCGAAGCCGGTGCTGATGTGCTCTTAACCTTGGTACAGTCGGTGACTTTGCTGGCCTTAGTCTTCCCTAGCGCAAGGTTTCACATGCAGGTTGAGGTTATACTTTGAAGAAGTGTTTTGTGATCAGGTACAATACAAGCGTCGTTGGGGTTGTTCTCGTTTCAAGGACAGGTCACTACGCCCACAAGTTTTTTACCAAAAGCTGTGGCATATGGTATTGCACAGTTTGTTTAGGCCACCCTTCTATATCTTGCGCGTTGGCACCGGCAGTGCTTCGTCGTCTTGGTTCGGAAATGAGCGATGTGCCCCGACTGAACTATGAAGCCGTCACAGCGATGATCGTGCGGTTCTTTGGCAAGGTGCAATATATGTGACCGATTGTTTTGCGTGCAGGAAAGGAGGTTACGCCGACGCCCAAAAAGAACTCGGGAAAGTGGATGTTGGTTCACGGTCCATGAGAAGGTGTGGAGACTCCAGCGTTGGCGGTGTTAGGGCGCGAAGAAAAAAACCATATTACTTTGGGCGTGGTCTCTGCAGCGTGAGACAGGCTGTTCCAATGTGTGCGCATGGGCGCTTTGTTTCGGAGGATTAACGTGGTCGGGAAGGGCAGATGTATAGCCCTGGCAGGGGTGATGCCCGTGCAACCGCGCCGCCCAATGCTCGCGACTCGTCGACTTCCATGCCTATCGATCATTCATCAGCGTGGCAGAGAGAGCCTTATAACAGGGACGTGAGGTTAGATAGAGGGGACAGGGATAGGACCATTGGAGGGAAAAGAGAATGGAGCTCTGACAGGGCTTCACCAGGAGCACCCTACCAAAGAGGTTTCGGTGGGTTGCACTCTGTGAACGGCAATCTTGGCCCTCCAAACAAACGTCGGCTGAATGGTGCGTGAACGTGGTTGCGACCTCAGAGTCTTTGCACTGTAGAATTTGGCGTGATATTTCGGTTTGTTTGATTGCACGTGTTCTTCTTCGTAAGTTTTGGGGGCGTATGCGAGTCTGAGACTTCTTTGTATGTGAAGTATAAGGGATTTGAATCTGTGTGTTTGTTTTTGTTTTGTGTTCTTGCTCGCAGGCCGTCATTCCGGGTTTCATACCGAAAACAGGCGGTACGGTTCGGCAGGGTATCGAGGAGAGCCGCCGTTTGGTTCCATCGTTCCCCTGGATAACGGGTTGGCACGAAAATTGGATAGAGACTCTTTTTATCCAGGATCGGGATGTCTTGTTACCAATACGGGCTTTAGTAATGGTCCTGGTATTGATCACCGATCCAAGGAGTTGGAGGAGAAGCTTAAATTGGGTTCATTTTTGTCATCAGGAAATGGCAGGGATGGGGGTGCTTCTGGTGGGCACGACCAGAACGGTCGACCTTTTCCCTCCCAAGTTCTGACCGAGGTAGAGAACACTTCGTGGGAGAGGGAAAGATCTAAGGGGCTGGTTGGCAATGGTTGGGAGTCGTCTCAGAGATCAGAAAGGGAACATCGTGAGAGGTTGTTGGGTAAGGCGGAGTCTTACAGTAGAAGGGAAGGGAAGTTCTCTCAGTTTGAGGGAGGAAAGGATTCGTCGCAAGTGGACCAGGATTTAGAGCTGAGGAAGCTTGATAGATGTGGAAGTAGCAGCTGGGACAGTTTCTCCGGTGATACGGTGTGTGAAAGCAAACTGTCCGTTCATGGATTAGATTGGAGGCGCAAGGAGAGATCAACCTCCGACTGTTTATCACGGAGTGCAAGTTACGTTGCTAGTAATGGTGGCACGAAAGAGTCGATGGTTAGGTCTCAGGGGTTGGATGTGTCTGGAAGAGCATCCTCTCCACACCGCTCACCTAAGTCGAAGCCTCCGTCGGCGAGAGTTGAGGTGAGCCGTGACGATGGAAACCACCCATCTCCACCGAAACGGCCTCGGCTGGGTTGGGGCCAGGGGCTTGCAAAATATGAGAAGAAGAAGGTTGTGGAAACGGATGAAAATGTTGTCTCTGGTTCGGTGGGTAGCGTCTCCGGGGGCGGAAGATCAAGTATTACAAGTGTTATTTCCGGTCCAACCACCGAAGTGGTTCAAACGCAGGATCTGCAGATGGCAGAAGATAGCACTGTCTCTGTTGTATCGAAGTTGGCCCCATCGCCGTCGCTGACGCCGTCTGTTTCGCTGTTACCACAGACACTAGAAAGTACGTTTTGCTGCATTTAGTTCATTGTCTTTTTCACCATCGTTTTTCGTGCTGCGGCCAACGAATCTCCTCTTTTCTTTGGTATTCAAAGATGATACCATTTTTTCTTGTTATCAATTTTGAGCATTAGTGATGAAAAACCAGTGTCCCTATTGAGTGCTGCTACGACAATCATGGTCCTGGTTTAAATTCTTATTGAAGATGTTTTCTCTGTTCGGTCGTGCTAAATTGATATGTCTTTGTCTACAGGTGTGTCGAAGCCATGCTTGGAGAGTCCGGGAGTAACGAGAGAGGATCTCAACAAATCCTACGTAAAGGCGGCTAACGGGATAGACTTGCCCACTCTGACTGCAACCTCTCCTGGTTCTCGGGTGGAGGATTCGGTAACGAATGCTGATTTGTTTGCGGCGACCGAGTGCAGTTTGGAACTAAGTGTCAGGCAGTCTGATTCCTGCGAACCTGTAGAGAGGCCTACTGCTTTGAAAGAATCCAGCAGCTGTCGAGCCTCGCCAGCAGCTCCATGCTCAGTCGAACAATGCTGTGGTTTAGAGGTGACTCAGGAAGTCTGTTCGACTGGAGATACGACTTGGTGGTCCAAAGAGGATATACTGCAGAGAGTCGAGAAACTCGAGTCTGAGATCGAGCAGGTGGAAAGAGAACTAGCCACTCTGGAACAGTTTAGGAGCTTAAAAAATGATGCACCAACGCCGGTTCCTGAAACATTCGAAGATTCAGCCGATAAAGATACTGGGACGGAGCTGGAGCCTGGGAAAAATGGTCACCATGTCATGGGTCAGGACGCTGTGGTTTTGCATGCCGGTTCTATGGAGTGTCGAGATGATTCCCAGCCGCTGCTGGCTAGTTCTCCAAATCGGATTTGCTCAGTTTCTCCCGAGTGCATTTCTCATAGTGTTTCAAGCCTTGAAACCGGAGCTGCTGTGGGAGCGGGCCCCCCTATGTGCAATCAAGCGATGGGGAGCAAGCACAGGAGCTAGAGAATGAATTCCTCGTTATGGAGGAAGGGCAGTCGCATGAAGGGGAAAAGGAAGCGACGTCTGATCAGACGATGGTTGAATCCGAGGGTGAGGGGAGCCTGGTGTCTAGTCCAAGTGCTGAAGTCTATTTGCCACACATGACGCACAGGGAACGGGCGGGTGTGAAGGTGCGGATGTCGAAGTCGGCGATTGCAGAGAAGGAATCGTCAGACGCAGCGATGGTAGTGGGCGATGTTGAGGCGGTTGCGAGGGGTTTGATAGGGGAGAATAAGGACCAAGCTCGGCATGCATCTGAGGCATTTTTGCACCTTCTGAGCCAGGGAGGTCGTGGAGAAGGAAAGGTGTACAGCTGTCCTGTCGAAGCACCTGTGTGGAAAGAGAACGTCGAAAGGCACGTTCGGAACCAGGAGAAGATGTTGGAGAAGATAGCAGAGCGACGGCAATCCGCGAGGTTTGTGGAGCAAGTGTTGACGATTAAGTTTCGAGCACTGAAAGATGCTTGGAGGCAGGAACAGTTTGGGACGAGCCAGCAGCAGAGAGGTACAAAGCCTGTGCGCAGGTGGGAGGCGGAGAAGCGGGGCGGGACTGCAGGTTGCCATCGGTCATCTCTGCGATTGAGACCCGTCCAAGCAGGTAGTGAAGGGTTTGTTGAAGCAAGATGAGTGTTGTAGGCATTTTATTTCGCGAGCCTGGTACGAGCCTGGTGCATATCATACGAGGGCAAGAGTGGGGCGTGTGTTGGATGCAGTTTCGAGTCCCATAAGTGCATTTGAGCAAAGTCGATGAATGCGGGTTAGCATGTATGTGGGAAGCGAGTGAGTGGTTGCAATGGCAGGGTGTTGATCGGGCTGCGCTGATGCTGTGGTGGGTACTGGTTGCAGGTGGCGGGAAGCTGGAAGCTCAATCTGAAGAGTCCATGAAGAGGGTGATGGTGGAACCGGTGGTGGGTCCGCTGAGGCCAGCGTTGAAGATGCCGGCAATGATCCTGGGCGAGAGGGAGCGATTGGCTCGCAGATTCGAGAGCAACAATGCGCTGGTGGAGGATCCAGTCCGGGTGGAGTCGGAGCGGAAGAGCATTAATCCTTGGTCGGCGGAAGAGAGGAGGGTGTTTTTGGAGAAGTTTGCGGTTTATAACAAGAACTTCAGCAAGATTGCGTCCCACTTGGAGTACAAGACGACTGCAGACTGCGTAGAGTTCTACTATAGGAACCAGAAGTCGGAGGATTTTGAAAAGATTAGGCGGAGGCAGCAGCTGAAAAAGAGGCGGGATTATTCGCGGTTGGGCGGATCGTTCCTGTCGACAGGGTTGCAGCCGAACAGCCGGCAAAGAGAGGCAAACATTGACGCACGGAGCGAAGGCTGGAACATGCAGACGTCGGGTGCTGTTTCGACGGTTTGTCAGATCACAGTGGGTGCGAAAGCCGCGAGGAGCAGCACACATCACAAACCCTTGGAGCGTCAGCGGACGAGCTCGTCGTTGGATCCCGGTAGCCTACCTGCAGTTGTTGAGATTGCGAAGTCCACGAGCGGCAAGGAAAGCAGGCCGTCTGGAATACCGCCATTGCCGAGCGGCGCAGCGGGTTCTGGAACGACGGGGTCTTGCAGTTTAAGCTCCGCAACCGCAGCTTCTGTGAAGGTCAGCCGAGAAAGAACGTCGGTGAAGTCGAACTGGAACGGAGGTTCAGCGGTTGCAAGGAGCGGGACTAAAGAGCAGCAGATGTCTGGACCGAAGGGTGCGCGGAGCGTAAACATTCGACGGGGTTTGACGACGTCTGCCGGGGAAGAGGTGGGATGAAGGGACGGGGATGGTGATGAACTTGGATGGTTTATGGGGAGTGGAGGGTTTGCAGTGTAGTGTCGAGGATCATGTTTGTGGACTACGAATGCAGGAGTCGTGGCATTTTAGGGAGAATAAATGAGCTGCTGGAAGGTGTGGGGGTTGTGTGGGTAATGAATTTGATGGGCATCGTGTGGACATACATGTAGGTGGTTATACGGTAGAGTCTGAAAGTTGTGTGTGGTGTGGCTGTGTTCGTTCAGGCTAATGCGCAATGGACAGACAAGGAGCGGGAGCTATTTACAGAGGCCGTAAGTTTGTTTGGGAAAGATTTTGAGAGCATTGCTGCCCATGTTGGATCAACGAAGAGTGAAGGTCAGTGTAAGTCATTTTTCAGCAAGACCCGGAAGCGGCTACGACTGGACCAGCTGGTGGAGAAGTACCAGGCTGCTCTGAACTTTAGGGCGGATGCAGCAGTTGCAGAGAGCCCAGAATTTATTGACGTACAGATGGAGGAAGTGCCGGGTGCAGCAGCCGAGGTCGTGCTGGTGGCTAGCCTGGAAGCGAACATTTATCCTTCTTTGGGAGAGGAAAAGGTTTGGAATGAAGCAACTGAGAGCGGTAAGGTGGAGGAGGTTGCAAACGACGTGAGCGTTCAAGCGACGGAAGCAGTGGAGGCGGAGATGTGTAAGGATATCGCAGCTGAGAAGACAGTGGAGGAGGAATCCTATGAGGATGTAGTGGTTGCGAAGGCAGTGGAGGAGGGATTATGTGAAGGTGTAGCAATCGAGAGGGCTGGGAAGGAGGAAATATTTGACAATGCAGCAGTCCATAAGGCAGTGGAGGAGGTATTATCTGAGGACGTCGGAGTTGAGAAAGCAGTGGAGGATAGAAGCGTTGAGGCGAAGGGAGTGGAGGTTGAATGCACTCCTGGGAAGGGAGTGGAGCATCAAGCTGTTAAGGATGAGGTTGTGGACGACGAAACCGTGGAAGATGTAGCAGAGGAGGGTGTAGTGGGCGTCATCGAAGTAGTGGAGACTGTCGACTTTGTTGGTGTGTCAATGGACCTGACAGTCGAGAGTGCTGTTTGTCCGCCAGAAAGCCCAGACATTGTGGAGGACGTGAAGAAGGCAGAAGCTGATGTGGGCGCTGGAGCTTGTTCCATGAATGAGTGTGATACAGGAGAGGCGGAGGACGTATTTGCCGCGTGTATAAAGGCTGAACCAGTTGTTGTGGATGAAGAAGTAGTCTCAGAACCTTTGACAGTCGATGCGGGTGAGGAGTTACCTGCAGGCAATAGTTCAGGGAGCTCAGCAGATTGTGGGATGCAGGAGGAGGGAGATGCGGTGGAAGTTGCTAAGGGTGCAGAAAGCGTGGTGGAATCTGTAAAGAGGGAAGTGGATGCAGGTGATGACAAGGGTCTTGGTACAGTGGTAGCAACAAGCACCCTTGCAGCAGAGGAGCAGTTAGTGGAGGCGAGTGGCGCGGTGGATGTGAAGCATGAGGCTGGGTCACCTCAGGTGGCAGTATCCACAGGCACAGAATCGGGTTCTTGTGCAATTGGAGCAGAGGGCGCGTGCCATTCAGGTAAGGCTGCGTATGCAACAACGTCGTCGATGCACGGTAGTCAACAATGTCGGGAGAAAAGTGGTAGGGTTGGAAGCGGGGAAGCAAAGCCTAGGAGAGAGCCGACGTCTTGGACTCAGGAGGAGAAAGAGGTATTTGCTGACATCATACGAAACTATGGGAAGGACTGGACGAGACTGCACGAGTGTTTGCCGACGAAGTCTCTAACGCAGATCAAGACGTACTTTCAGAATTCGAAGGCAAAACTGGGGCTTGTGAATTCGGAGGGCGTGAGTGTAGGTGGAGGAAGGGGGTCCGGAAGCCGGAAGAGGAAAGCCGAGGAGGTGGACAACATGAGCAACAACGTGGGTTGTGTGAGCGGAGGAAACGAGTCGAAGTGTGGGTCTGTGAGTGGAGGTGATGTGGATGGCGGTGGTCAGAAGGTGAAAGGTGGGATGGGCGATCCTCCAAGCATGAGCGTAAGCGCGGGTATGGGGACGATTCCGGTGGGGCTGGAGGGCCTGGCGTACCCATTTTTTGGTCAGCGGGCGGAAGACCAGATGGCGTTGCACCAGTTTATGCGGCAGTTGCAGTTGTGTAACCCGAACGGGCTTCCGCAGAACATCCCGCCAATGCTATATCCGTTACTGCAGCAACAGGGGTTGGGAGTGTTTCCGTACCCAGGGCTGCAAAGAGCAGGACCTCCGAATTTGCAGCAGCAGTTTGCAGCGTCTATGTCTCAAAAGACGTCACAGTCGATGGGACTACAACTGGCGTTGCAAGGGCCGGGAGTGGGTCAGCAAAGCGGTGCAGTAGATCTTCACCAGCAAGGGGCGCATCAATTGCAGAACTCACAGGTGTGGAGAGGGTGGCAGATAGTGGATTTGGCAGCTGAGTAGCGTTGGTTTTGCAACTTGAGGTGACGGAGTAGTTGGAGAAGGTGGTGTTGTATGGATGAAGAGTATGTTGCGTGGATCGGCAGTAGTGGTTGGAATATGTGGATGTAGGGCGCTAGGAGTTTTGAGTAGGTGTGAGATGGTGAGGATGGGGATGAGCGCTGATGAATTGCTGTGACTTGCAGGCGGCCCGAAGTCAACAGCAGCTACTGGCAAATATGATGCAACAAGCGGCAGCACAGCAAGCGGCAGCACAACTTCAGCAACAGCAGTATCAGTACAGCAAGAGTGTGGTTCATCCTCAACAGCAGGTACTGATTGATTTTGCACGTGTAATGGTCGGATGAAATTGGCGGAGTGAATTTAGTAATGAAAGTAACGTAGCTAATGCGTTGTTTGACAGGTGATGGTACTTCAACCTGGGCAAGTTTCTCAGCGACAGCAGCAGCTTGTGAGTCAGCAGGTTGGACATCATCCTCAAGTTCAGCAAGTGTGTCAAGCGCAGGAGTCTAGTTCAGTTCATCCGGTTGGAAGTGAAAGCCTGGGGGTTAATCATCCTGATCAGTTAACATTTCACTTGAAACAGTTGCATGAGCAGCAACAGCAGCAGGCTTATATTCAACAGCCTCAGGTAATTTTAAGGTTCTTTTGCATTTCAATTTTCAGGTTTTTGTTTGTTCAATCTCGAGTTTTGTAATGGGCTTGTTATTTTCGTTTGTAGCTTCTGTGGCTGGTTCGAGTTGTGGATTGTTCAACAATTGTTGGTTTCTGTTTGTTGAATCTGCGGTTGTGTAATGGGCTTTTTGATATTTGTTAATGAATTAACTTACGAATTCTTATTGGGGATTGTTGAGCAGTTTCAGCGAGCCGTACATCTGGTGCAGAAGCAGCAGCAGCAACAGCATAGTCAGCACGATCTTGCCGAGTCGAATTCTCAAGGTCACATTCATCAACATCATAGTTGTCATACGTCGCCGGTACCATCGGTGGCAGTCCCCAAGCCTAAAGGTTTAATGATATCACCGCAACAGCCAACTGCAACCTTTTCAGCTCCTTTGTTACAGCAGGGAGGGTCGATCCATCGCCAGGATCAGCAGCCGCAGCATGGAGTCAGTATGACATTGTTTAGTGGAAACGGGGGAAGTTCCTTATCAGGCAACGTTGGAGATGTCTCGAACTATCATGGGGAGCTTGGAGAACTGCGAGAGAACTGCAGCGATGGTAAATTGTCGACCTTTTATTCTTCGGGGGCTTGTTTCGTTATTGTTGGCATGTCCAGTGAGAGAAAGTGTTAGATAATTTTGCTACGATAATTTCGTTATGTCTACGTGGTGGATTATCTTGATTCTCCTCCTGATAGCTTTTGTACAGCAGCACTAATGTATGTGGATGTTATCAGAAGGAGCTGCGAAGGCACGAGAGTTTTCAAGAGCGGATCTCCATCAAATGAGTGCCGCGGTTCAGAGAGTAAAACCTTTACAAGCTGCAGTTCCGCCAGTGCCAAGTTCGACCCCTGCAACCGAGTCCCCGCAAAGTCGACCTGTGGATGTGAAGCTGTTTGGTCAGTCGCTTTTGTCTCAACCCACTTGTAGTGGGGCACTCCAAAGCGCAGCACGGGCTTCACTTCCTACTGCTGACAAAGTCTCTTTGCGAGAGTCAGCTGTCTATACCACCTCGTCGTCTCCTGTGACGAGTATGTCAGTTCCAGCAGCAACTGGATCGAAAGCGTACGCGAAGGAGGCATCTTTTAGTGGAGTTCCGGCCATGCCTGATGGTCGGCAAGGTGGATGGCCTTCCACGGGTTATTCAGTAATCACGGAAGCACGGAAAAATGTGAATGGGATGCGTCCTCAGGTGGGTCCGGTGTGGAAGTCGAAGGAAGGAGAGTTGGAGCTTCACAACATACAGGAAGGCCGCATGTCTCGAGGAGCCCGAAGGGCGGAACCGGAACAGAACGTACCTACTATTACGCACAAGCTTTACGATCATGAACAGTCTCGCAGTGATTTAATGCACTCCCGAAGCGAGGCTCATTTATCGGTGAACAATTTCGGCGACTCTGCGAATGAGCAGGGTGGTGGGTTTCCTTCGTCTTCGGGGGAGGGATTAGGGGCCGACTACGAGAGAAAAAGTGAGAGCACCGTACTTGATTCCGACGGTTGTGAGCGAGGGTCCACGATGTGCAGTAGAGGTAGCAGGGCTCTGGCGGATTCGTTTGCAATGCAAACTATTGGATCATTGGCTAACGGTTCACAAATATCGCGGACTGTAATGAATGCGTTGGTGGCCTTCGCCGATTTGCAAAGTCGCAATTTACAATCTTTCTCGAGCACCGGTTCTCCAAGGCTGGAGGACCACCAGTGGGAAAGCCTAGTACGGCAAGCTGCACATGGTGCCGCAGTAGAGTCTTTGAAAGCCCATCCTAGTGTAGGTCGAGGTGGCCCTTCAGGTGCCCCACAAGCTCACTTGAGTGGGGGCGATCTGTTGCAGCAGTGTGTGCGGGACGGCGGCATGTATTTTACTCAACACTATCCTCGTCTTGCTAGCCAGCCGGGTGTAAGCTCTGGCGCTTGGAATGCTGGAGCTGGGCTCATGAACCCTTCTGATGTGCAGCGCGTGCTTGTAAGTCCTGCTTTTAGTTCCTTCCTTCCAGGTGCATTGTCCAGAGCTCCACCAGCAGCCGAGGAGCATTTGGGATCCACAAAATCAAGGGATCCTGACAATGGCGGAGGTGGGCTCCGTTAGCCGTTAGGTGTAGGGCTTTAGACCCACAAAGAAAGCACAGTCAATCTTTTTTTTTTCCTTTCCCCCTTGTATTTCAGCCGTTTTTTAAGCAGGACAGGGCGACGGGCATATGCCCTTTGTAAAATTACCTCATGATTCCTTGATCACATTTTGCCCTTTGTTTGCAAAACATATTCAGTAAAGAGACAACACTTTGCCATGCATTTGTGCTGTTCGGATCGTGATACTCATACTTTAATCTTTGGGTAGTGAGAGGATTAAAAAGGATTGTAACCTGTTGCATTGGAGAAGCAAACTGTCATATTTACTTCAGGATATATAGCGATCGTAATATTTTAGATGAATGACATTGAAACACGGTGCGTTTGTGAGTACAGAATAAGCCTTCGAAATGCAATTTTTCGTTAATCTTTTTGAAATGTACTAAATTGAAACTAAAATGATCTGCTATGGTAAAAATTTCAAAAACAGTTAAGAAATGATATTAATTTCTATGGGCAGGAGTTTGTAATCATATTATGTGTTTTGTATAGCTGTGTTTTGTATATTTATTAGATCTCTATTTGATTTTGATGTTTATTTACTTATTCCTTTCTGTCTGTACATGTATGTTTACAGTTGTATTAATATAAAGAGTTAATTAGAAAGTACAAATTATGGATCATTAAGTAAAAAAATTACTTCTTTTTGAGACGTGTTCATATTTATCTTGTGTTCCAAGCTTATTTTACATTAGATTGTAGATGGAGTAAAACAATGATTGTTAATTCTGTTTGAAGATAAATTAAAAAATTGTAAGGATATCGTTGAAGTACATTATTAACATCATTTTTCAAATACATCCCAAAAATCTTCTTATTGTTTTTAACAAGTATTAGATGCAAATGTTGTTTTTAAGGTTACTATTGCATTTGTTAAATATCTGTAATTAATTATTATTTTTTGTCTGATATCCTCTAAATCTTTCCAATATTACTTGTAATATATTGATCAGTTTTGTGAAGATAATATCAGTAAGGAATACTTAATATCATAAGACATTCAGCATATGTTCTAAGAACCTTTTCAAAAATAGGTAAATATTTAATAGAAATAAAAACATAAAGCTACAAAAATTGGTTTAAATTATTTTAAATAAGTCCAACTTGCAAAAAGTAAAGCATGTCTGCTTGTAACTTGAAGTTAGAAAATATTACAGTTGTTAGATTGATATCTTTAAAAAAAATTCATTTATTAAACAATCTTAAAGACTTCAATGGATCTAATCTACAGAGCAATAAATACTTAAAATTTCATAAATATTTATTTATTTAGTATTGATTTTATGTGCATCAACATGAAAATATAATGAAGTACATATATGTATATATATATATATATATATATATATACACATAGAGAGAGAATGGTATAATATTAAACTGGATGGTAACAATCAGATTTAAGTATTTTTATTTTTCAATGTATCATTATAAATCTTGAATTACATTGTTTATTTATTTTTCACACTTCAATTGTGGAAAAAATAAAAAATCCTTAAATTTCTAAATTATTATTATAATAAAAATATCATTTTACTTATATATTGATGTAAATTAAAAACAATGTATATGTATGTATATATATTATTATTCTTAATATAACTTGGATTTTTTGTGGTTGCTAATCCAAATTAGATTTGTACAAATCATCAAAGTCATAAGCATTATTAGAACCAAAACCAAAATATTCTACTTTTAAAATAACAAGTAACAGTTTTGATTTCATGAAATATTTTTAACCTTATCCAATTGGTGCATCTACCATTTTTATAAGTGTTTTGGGTATTGTTTGGAGAACAACATCTTTTTTTGAGCTTTCTTGGATTTTGTCACAATACCTGCTTTTGTTGCAAACTTATGTAGTATTTGTTATTGCCAATTGTCACATTGAATGTTTTGTACTAATTTGTGATAGGATATTATAGAAGTGGGTTGGATTAATGGTTGGCTAGACCCTTGTATGTGCACTAAGTGGATGTTGCTTGTTGCATTGACCTATGGTGATATAACATAATAACTGGTCACTATTGGTTTGGTAGTTTTGTAGGACATATTGCCCTTCTATCTTTACTTGTTTTAGATGGCTTCAATGTTTGACTACTAGTATAGAAAGCATATTAATATTTTTATAATAAGTATATAGAGAAGATATTATTGTTTTCATTTACTAGTGTATTTTGAGAGAAAATTAGCCATGGATTTTGAGTCATTAGTAATATATGACAAGGCTTTGGAACCTCATTTGTAGTTGAAGAATGTTGAGAGATATTTGGCTTAGAATGTTAGCATTTTTTTATTAATTAATAGTGATCTTTGTAGTATTGTGAGAATTTGATTTCTTAGATGATGTTGCAAGAAAAAAATTTAAAAGTAGGCTCATCTAAAATATTTTATAAAAATATTAAAATTAAAACCCAAGAATTGGTCTTTTATAAAACAATGTCAATATCAAATCTTAAGGCACAAAAATAAAGATCCATAATAAATAGACTTCTTATTGGAAGATTTAGAGCAGAAGTTTGCCAGCAAGTTTCAAGAGCATTTTAAGAGTGTAAAGGTTATAAGATTAAGACTTAAAGAAGACCTTCAATTAGATAGTAAAAGTTAAAATTTGTAAGTAATAATTTTTTTAAAGACAACCAAGATTAGTGTAGAGTTTTAATACTTTATGCTTAATATATGATTGGATTGTTTTTAAAATTTCATAGATATATAAGAATAAAAAAAATGTGATTTTTGAATTTGTATTATTTTAATGGTGCAATTGGAATCTATCTATTTGCATACTTGCAAGAATACCAAAATTAGATAAATTATTGGTAGTTACATATTTTTAAATATCTAAAGATTTTTTTGATGGATATTTTTTTTATAATGCTAATATAAGATATAACAATCAAAATACAAGTCAAGTTGGAGAAGAAGTTTATCATTCAATTAGAAAGAAAAAATATTAGAATTCATCATCAAATTTGGAATAAAGAATCAAGTTTTATTAATGAATTTTTTATTCTAATATTTATTCATCTCTAAGTTGAATTTATCTCAACATTTCTAAATACATACAAAATTTAAGAAATAAAAAGTCTTTGTTTAAAATTCAAAGCTAATCAAATGGTTTCTTTATGAACTAATATTTATTGTAATTGAATAGTTGGAATTTAAGTTTTTTTTAGGATTTAAAAAGATTCATTATATTTTTCTTATAATTTAGGTTTTAGGATTTGATAGGATTTAAGTTTTAAGATTTAAACATATATAGATTTTAAAATCAATAGAATCTAAAATATATGATTTAGAATTGCTTGAATATAAGATTTAAAAAGAGATTAAGATTGTTAATCAAGGTGTTTTTAAGTAATTTATTTGTTTATTTTTTGTAAGACTATTGTAGACTACATATAATTTTCTTCTACACACAAATGTTTAGTGCATTCTAAGCTATAATTCATGTTATACAACAACAAAGTACAACCATCTTATTATAAAAATAGAAAATTTAAGTTTATACATAGATAAAAGAGAGATAATAATGGTTGCCATCTTTTAATAATTAGTAGACTTTTAAATTGTCACCTTAAATTTTTTAAAGTATAAGGCAATCAAAACCTAAGAAAAATAGATAGAAGACTATTGTAATGAACTTAATGTAATAGAATATTATTAAAAAAATTACATTCAGTCTTTTTTTTTTTCCTTAAAGAAATTATAAATTCTCATTTAGTACCTTTAAAAAAGTAAAAAAATCCAAAAGAAGATAATAAGAAAGAATAAAATAAGGTTTTAATTTACAACTTGATTTTAAATAGTGAGTTTTTATTTATTTAATTTTAATTAATAGAAACTATACTTACAACATTGATATTTATAGTTCCATTACTTCAATTTCTTTATTGCAAGTATTTGTTATCTAATTCAATTAACCAATGGTAGTTTAAAGGAACCAACCTAAGAAAGAAATCTAGACAAATAAGATTTGAATATTAGTAGGCAAGTTGCAGATATTTAGTTGAAGTAGGAAGTGGATGTCTTTAAGCAAAGTTATAAAGAATTAAATTAAGATATTATGTAGCTAATAATAAAAAATATTGACTATCTTTAATTAATTAAATTAATTTAAATAACTACAAAAACTAATAATTATATGCACTTGCATAATTAAAAAGATGGATCAAATACTACAAAGTATCAATTGCAAGACCAAATATATATATATATATATATATATATATATTTAAAATTGTTTATACATATAGACTATTTTCTAAGTTATTAATTTGTTTCTTTTTAAATATTTTTAATCTATATTTATTCTTTGTAATTATTATTGAAGTAGAATCATATACAATTCAATTCAAACTAATAGTTGGTGAAGAATTCTTCCTAAGATGAATTTAGTCTTCAAGTTTTCAACATTGATTAAAGAGGGATTTTTAAGAATTGATACTTAAAAATTGATATTTAACAAAAGAAGTTATCATTTAGTGTTGATTTAAGGCTACCAAATTTTTTTTTCTAAATTAAAACCAAGTGTGGAGAGGAGCTTCCAATCCACTAAATTTTAGACTTATTTATATCTAAAGTATCACAATGTAATCTTTTAGATCTATTAAAAAATAAATTTTATTTTTTTATTTTTAGTAATGTATATTACTAAGCCAAAAATGCTATCATATAGTAATATGATTATATGATAAAAAATATTGATGTTATTATAGAAGAGCCTAGTAGAAAGATGTAATAAAAAAATAATGATAAATTATAGAAAGGTAGTAAAATGTTTAGTCTGAATGTTGCTTTTTGTAGAAGGAACTTCTATTTATTTTATAGAGGCATAAATAAGCCAAATCAAAATAAATGAGTTAAGAAATTGAAATAGGCATGTTTAGAATAAAGTTAAAAAATAGGTTAAAGAAAAATTTATTTCAAGTTACTAAAAATTGATACCTAGAAACGGCCGGTTGTCAATTTGGATCAAAATCAGACCATGAGGCACAAAACTGCACACCTACGGCGATTCTAGGGCTTTTTTGTAAATTAAAGAGTAGATTTTGAGAGCACACTTGAGGAGAGATTTTTTAGTATTTGTTTCATTTCATTTTGATTAATATTGAGATTTTGAGAGATTTTCAAAATTAATAATGTACTTGATAGGTTTAGAT